ATAATGATCTTTTATTGGGGTATCTATATCTGGTTTTAGAATTAGGAAAATGCTGGCCTTATAAAGTGAGCTTGGCGTCTCCCTTCCTCTTTAATTTTTTGAATAGTTGGAGAGGGATAGGTGTTAGTTCTTTAAATGTTTGGTAAAACTCACCTGTGATAGTCTACTAGGACTTGTGTTTGTTGGGACATTGTTTATTATTGCATCAATTTCTTTAGTTATAATCAGTCTATTCAGATTTTCTGATTTTTCCTGATTTAATTTTGGTGGATTGTATGTGTCTAGGAATTTATTTGTTTCATTCAGATTGTCCAATTTGTTGGCATATAGTTGTTCATATTTTCTTACGACACTTTGTATTCCTGTGCTGTCAGTTACTACTTCTCTTCTTTCATTTTTAATTTTATTTATTTGGGTCCTCTCTCTTTTTTCTTGATGAGTCTACTTAAAGGTTTGTTAATTTTGTTTATATTTTCAAAGGACCAGCTCTTGATTTCATTGATCTTTTGTATTGTTTTTTAGACTCTATTTCATTTATTTCTGCTCTGATCTTTATTATTTCTACTCTTCCCTTCTTCTACTCACTTTGGGCTTTGCTTGTTCATTTTCTAGTTCTTTTAAAAAAAATTTTATTTATTTATTTTCAGAGAGAGGGGAAGTGAGGAAGAAAGAGAGAAAAACATCAATGTGTGGTTGCCTCTTGTGCCCCCTCAACTGGGGACCTGGCCTGCAATTCAGGCAGGTGCCCTGACTGGGAAGTGAACCTACGACCCTTTGGTTTGCAGGCTGACACCCAATCCATTGAGCCACACCAGCCAGGATTATTCTGTTTTTTAAAGATTTTTTAAATTTATTTTTTTTAGAGAGAAGGGAATGGAGGAAGAAAGAGAGGGAGAGAAACATTGATGTCCTTCCTCTGCTTCCTTCCTTCTTCCTTCTTCCTCTTTCCTACTTCCTCCCTCCCTACCTCCTTCCTTCTTCCTTACCCCTCCCTCTTCTCTTCCCCTTCCTCCTCCCTTCCTCCCCTCTCTTCCTTCCCGTCTCACCCCCCCCCCTTCCTAATACTGACTTGGTGGTAATGAACCCCTTTAGCTTTTTCTTGTTTGGGAAGCTCTTCATTCTTCTTCAGTTTTAAATAATAGCCTTACTGGGTAGAGTAGTCTTGGTTGTAGGTCCTTGCTCTTCATCATTTTGGTTATTTCATGCAAATCCCTTCTGGCCTGAAAAATTTTTGTTGAGAAATCAGCTGACAGTCTTATGGGAGCTCCCTTATAGGTAACTGACTTTCTCTTGGCTGATTTTAAGATTCTCTTTTTGTCTTTAACCTTTGCCATTTTAATTATGATGTGTCTTGGTGTGGACCTCTTTGGGTTTATCTTGGTCTTGTTTGGGACTCTCTGCACTTCCTGGACTTGTGTGTCTTTTTCCTTAACCAGGTTAGAAAAGTCTTTAGTCATTTCTTCTGACTGGTTCTTGATCCCTCTTTCTCATCTCTTCCTGTACTCCTGTCATGCAGATGTTGTTACACTTCGTGTTGTCCCAAAAGTCCCTTAAACTATCCTCATTTTAACAATTCATTTTCCTTTTTGCTACTGTAATTGGGTGTTTTCTGCTACCTTGTCTTAGAAATAGCTGATTCAGGGTTTCATCTAGCCTAGGTTTATTGCTTCTGGTGCATTCTTCATTTTAGATACTGTATTTTTCACTTCTCACTGGTTCTTTATTATGGTTTCTATGTCCTTTTTCATGGTGTTCTCACTCAGTTTTTTGTAATTTACATTAAGTTCCTTGTGCATCCTTATAACCATTTTTTTTTTAACTTTGTATCTGGTAAACTGCTTACATCTGTTTTATTTAACTCTTTTTCTAGAGATTTCTCCTGTTCTTTTTTTCCCATTCACTGGTTTTAGAGAGAGAGAGAAAAATACCGATGTGTTGTTCCACTTATTGATGGATTCATTGGGTGATTCTTTTATGTGCCCTGACTGGGAATCAAACCTGCAACCCTGGTGTATTAGGACTATGCTCCAACCAACTGAGCCATCCAGCCAGGGCTCTCCTGTTCTTTCATTTGGCACATGTTTCTTTGTCTCCCATTTGGGCTTCCTCTTTGTTTTTATTTCTATGTATTAAGTAGATCTGCTATGTTTCCTAGTCTTGATGGGGTGGCCTTATGTCGTGGGTATCCTGTGGGATCCAGGGGCACAGTCTCCTTGATCACCTGAGCTGGGTTCTCCAGAAATGCCTCTTGTGTGGGTGATGTGAGCCCTCCTGTTATAACTGAGTCTTGATTGCTATTGGTCTGTTTGTGCGTGGGTTCAACACTCAGGCTGGCTGGCTGTGAGGATCAACCTCAGCCACAGTGTATGAGCTGGTATGTGGTGCTGACGACACTAAGTGGAACTCGCTTCAGCAGGGTCCGGTGCCTCTCAGGATCTCCCTTTGGATATGTTGCTTGTAAAGCTTATTGGATCCTGTTCTGATTTTGTCTGAAGCCAGCCACTGAGTGTGTTGGTTCTGGGGCCTCTTAAGGAGGGACTCTGGTAAAGACCAATGGCAGACGCTGCCCGTGACTGGCCCTGGGCAGCCTGCTCGGAGCCACAAAATGATTCAGTTTGTGGCTGCCTCTGCTGGGTCTGCGTGTGCATGGGAAGGACCAAGCTTTGCAGCAAGGCTGGCTTCCACTAGCAAAGTCCAGGGCCAGAACAGCAAAAGGCCCATGGTACCCCCAAGTGTGCCTGGTGTGGGGTTGAGACCCCCTGTTCCTCAGTGGGAACCTGCCAGCTGCCTGTTCGACTCAGTAACTAAAAGAGCCTCTGGCAGCACTCAGGTTGTAGGGGAAGGTTCTCACTGAGTCACCAAGTATGGGCCAGTGGTGTTTACCAGATTGGCACAGGTTCAATCTCAGTGACAGTATTAGGTCTGAGGCCACTCAGCAAAAGTCTCACTGTATACCAAGTCTAGCTGCCACGTGCCAGATGCCACAGACCTTTTTGGTGGTGAAGGGTCTCAGGAAATCATCAGGGTGAGGCCAGCAGAGTTTATCAGGCCCAAACAGAACAAGATTTGGCCATGTGAAGGGAAAGCTCTGCACTTGTTTGCATGTGAGGGAAAAATGATGCCCATCCTAGAGCCACACAATTCAGTCTGTCCCAAATTCTGTCTGGAGCCCAAGTTCAGCATGGCAAGGAGTTGGGAGGGTAGGGTAGTGGATCTCCCGTGAGGGGGAGTGTCCATCAGGTTTGGGAGGAAAGAAGAGTGGCCCCCACTCCAGAGCGACACATCTCAATAACTGACACCCCCTGAGTGTGGCCGGACCTCTACACCCCTGCCCAGGCAGCCGGTTCCTCAGCAGGGTGTGAGCTTCATAGGGTGGGGAATGCAGAGGTTAGGGCTATTTCATTCCCCCAGCTGATGCCATAAGGAAGGGAGTGCTCCACCCAAGAAAGATGGTATCTGCGGTGTGGGAATGGAACTCAGGAACAGGGATCCTGGTGGCTGTCCCTTTAACTCTCTCCCCAGAGTCACAACCCCAGTCTTTTCTCACACAACTCTAGTCTACTCCACTGGAGCCCAGGTGATTGGCTGCAAATGAGATTTTGTGTGTTGGCCCTTTAAGAGGGGTCTCTGTCTTTAGTAGACTCCTGTCTCTCCCTGGAAAACAGAATCCTTGTTGATTTTCACGGGCAGGTATTATATGGGCACCTCTTCCTAGCTCTGGTGCTCTGGGCTGGGGAGCCTGGTGTGTAATTAAGGCCCAGTGTTCTTTAGTGGGAACCTTTACAGCCAAGACATCCCTCCAGAATCTCAGCTACCCCCGGGGGTGTGAAGCCAGCCTTTTTCACATCTATGCTCTTCCTATGAGTCTCAATGTGGCTTCCTCTGTAAACCCTTGGTTATAAGACTTCTGTTCAGCTAGTATTCAATTGGTTATTTAGGTTGATTGTTCTATATTTTAGTGGTAATTCCAGTTCCAGTTTGGTCCTGGGAGGCAGTCAGTGTAGCTTCTACTTATTTTACAACTATTTTGGATTAACCCTGGGCTTCCCTTTTAAGTGACACATTTTTCTTTTTCTGTTTTCATTGTTTTCTCTTTGTCTTTGACTTTCACCATTTTCACTGTGATGTATCTGTTTGTGGAGCACGTTGCAATTTTAATCTTGGGAGATCACTGGGTGTCTGGACATGTAGGTTGGTGTTTATCACAGGGAGTTGATGGTCCTCTGTGTAAAGGATCTCTAGGACCACCCTTAGGTATGAAGATTTCACTACAACAGTTCACTGGACTTATTTGAGAGAAAGTGGTTACACATGTTACAATTTATTAGAGAAAGAACACATTAAAATTAGTGATGGAAAAGGGAACATTGGGTGGAAACCAACAGAAACCAGGCTGAAACTTCAGTTGTCCCCTTTCAGCGCATATGCATGCACAGAGCTTAATGTGTTTGAAATGTTACTGACTAGGGGGCCTCACCTGAGCCTTGGAGTCTGGGGTTTTTATTGAGGGTTTTACTGTGTGACCGACCTTCACAACTCAGCGCTCAGTTCCTCCAGAAGTCTGTTGTACAGTGTGTCCCAGGTGGACAGTGTGAGTTATTGATGATAAGTCACATTGTCAGTGTAAATTCTGCCATGGCCCAAGGCCCCAGCCATACACAGACACTCTCAATGGCAGCTGATTCCAAGGGACCACACACTTTGCTCCAGGAGCCAGTCAAGGATTAGTCCTAAACAGTGGTTACTGTTTGGACAACTCAGGCTTGCTGAGTTAGCCTTTGCCTGCATATTTTCAAGTGAAAGCATTTATTTCATTTGTACATCATCTCCCTGGACCCTGCAATAGATAGAGTAAGACAAGAGGATTCACAGTAAACAGTAGAGTCCGGTTCCTAGTGTTAGTAGTGCTGTTCACTGTACCAGGAAGTGGGTGTGAACCGTTGCAGGAGACCCCAGTGCTTTCAGACTCACCCATCCTCCTGCACATTTGGGTGTTGCAGGACTCGGTGGTCTTTGCGGATGTGGCGGTGGACTTTACCCTGGAGGAGTGGGCTCTGCTGGACTCCGCTCAGAAGAACCTCTACAGAGACGTGATGCTGGAAAACTTCCAGAACCTGGCCTCAGTGGGTAAGGATGACATCGTTTCACTGAGTCATTTAGTGAACAAGCACTTCTCATCGGTGCTCTTCCAAGATCCGACACGCAGAAAAGGAATGATTGGTAAATGAGACCAAGATCGTCACAGCCACCGTGAACCTAAAATCTAACAATGCTTCCGTGACAGTGGAAATCTGGGTATTAAACTGAGACTTTGCTCGTCTTGTTTTTGTTTTCATTTAAAAGCATTTTATTTAAAGTCTCATAACTTTAAAGTTTTTCCATGGACTTTTTAAAGTAACTAATTAACTATCAGATGATTTAGTTTAAGTTTCCAAGAAGCAGAATATTATTAATAACTCAAGCATTGATGTATGATTGAAGATTGCAAAGCAATTGAAATCTGTCCTTCAGACTTACATCCAAGATTACTCTATCCAGCAAAGCTATCATTTAGAATGGAAGGGCAGATAAAGTGCTTCCCAGATAAGGTAAAGCTAAAGGAGTTCATCATCACCAAACCCTTATTATATGAAATGTTAAAGGGACTTATCTAAGGAATAGAAGATGAAAAACTATGAACAATAAAATGACAACAAAGTCATAACTATCAACAACTAAACCTAAAAAACAAAACAGAATCACAGAAATGGAGATCACATCGAGGGTTATAAGTGGGGAGGGGTAGAATAGGGAGGAAAAGGTATAGGGAATAAGAAGCATAATTGGTAGGCATAAAATAGACAAGGGGAGGTTAAGAATAGCATAGGAAATAGAGAAACCAAATAACTTATATAACCCATGGACATGAACTAGGGGTGGGGAATGCTAGAGGGTGTTGGGGGCGGGTACAGAGTGGAAGGGGGTTAAGGGGAGAAAAAAAATTGGGACAACTGCAATAGCATAATCAATAAAATATACTTCAAATAAATTGGCAAAAAAAAAATCTGTCCTTCAGATGTGAAGATGTTTCTGTGATCAGCAGTGATCACTGCAGCTTAAATAAACAGAATACTAACAAATTTACAGGCTGAGTAGATTTTAGTAAATCAAATAAAGTTTTAAACTATATTCAAGGCTGCTCATAAAACATCCATATCAAATGCTTAATGTCTTTGGAAGAAAAAAAAATTATGCTTAACCATTTACTTTATGCACTTATTTGAAGAAAGATATTCTTACAAAAATTCCAATGTTTTCTGTTTGTATTTTACTGCATTGCTGTTTGTTTGTCTAGGTTTAAAAGATTTGGGGGTTCTTTGGTATCATTAGTGTGGGTATAGTCTTTAGGGGTCATTTTCTGGGTTCCCAGAGAATTTTCTTGTTTGAAACTTTGACAGTCTTAGGGAGTTACCCATCATTTTGACCCCTTGTGCCTGTCACTCGAAGTCTTTCTTTGCTCACAAATGCCTTCCTTATTCCTTAATATATTTATTTACTTTTGTTTCAGATAATGAGACACTGTTTACAGCCAGAGGGCCCATTATTCAGCAGGATATGCATGAGGAAAAAATATCTAACAAACAGGAAATAGCAAAATTCACAAGAAGTAATTCTTGTATCTACATTTTAGCAAACTATGGGGAAGACCAGAGCATTGACGATGAGCAACAAAACTACAGGAGACCTCTAAGGTGAGGTGCCTTCTTTATTGGTAGTAAATGGTAGTATCCCAGAAGAGAATCTTAGTTTGTCATAAAGTTGTAAAACATAAAAATTATAATCCTAGCTCTACATCTGTTAATTCACATGGATTTAACAAAAAAAAATTTAATTTAAATTACACATTGAGTGTGTGAAACGATTCAGTTAGAAACAATGATAGGAAAACCCCACACACAGCAAATAGCCTGTGAATAGAGAATATACCCGAACTCCCTGCCACAGCATGTCATTTATTCAACTCCAAGCAACTTAGAAAGGGTAGGAAAACCTCCCATAGACTGAAATGTAGTTAGAAATGTAGTTATAAACTTACTAATGGTTAATAAAAACTCATTAATAGAAAGTTACTGCAAAAGTGGCATTTCAGAGCAACATTACTACAGAAGTGTTAAAACAGTATGTATTACTAGAGATGCCAGACATTTCAACTTCTACTGAAAGAAATACATAGAGTAATGTAATAAACTCTGTGCAACATGTTTAATTAAACCTGTTTTGTTCAAGGGGGAAAAAAACCTCATTAATAAATATGCTGTTAATAAAGTAGTTCTCACTTTTAACAGGAATCATGTGGTGGACAGCTTCTGTGAACATAATGATGGAAATCAACACGGTGAAACCTTCATTCACATTCCCAATCTTAATCTGCACAAAACCATTTCTATGGGAATAAAACCATATGAATGCACCAAGTGTGGAAAAGGCTTCACGCATCTTTCTTCCCTTAAGAAGCATGTTAGAGCTCACCGTGAACATAAATCATTTCAGTGTCAGGAATGCAAACAGGGCTACATTTGTGCCTCACACCTGGGAACTCACACTGGGGAGAGACCCTATGGGTGTAAATTATGTGGGAGAAACTTTCCTTATTTCTACTGCCTCAGTCAACACATCAGGATGCACACTACAGAGAAAAATTACGAATGCCAGCAGTGTGGGAAATCCTTCAATGAGCTCTCCAGTCTTACTAGACATGTGAGAACTCACACAGGAAAGAAGCTATATAAATGTCAGGAGTGTGGGAAAGCCTTCATTTACCCCTCAGAACTTCAAAGGCATATGATAACGCACACTGGGGTGAAGCCCTATGAATGTAAAGCATGTGGGAAAACTTTTCGTCATTCCTATTCCCTGACGCGACATGTCAAGATTCACACAGCAGAGAAAACCTATGAATGTAAGAAATGTGGGAAAGCCTTCAGCTGGCCCGAGACCTTTCAAGCCCATGTGAGGACACATACTGGAGAGAAACTCTATACCTGTGAAAGCTGTGGGAAGGCTTTCAGTTCTCCCAAGTCCTTCCAAGGTCACATGAGAACTCACACTGGGGAGAAACCTTACAAGTGTAAACAGTGTGGAAGAGCCTTTACTTGGTCCTCAAACTTTCAAGAACATGTGAGAATTCATACTGAAGAGAAACTGTATAAATGTGAAAAGTGTGGGAAAGCTTTCAATTCCTCCAGATCCTTTCAAGGTCACATGAGAACCCACACAGGAGAGAAGCCCTACGAGTGTACACAGTGTGGGAAAGCCTTCAGCTGGTCCTCGTCCTTACAAAAGCATGGGAGAATGCACACCGGGGAGAAACCGCACAAATGTAAACAGTGTGGAAAAGCCTTCAAGTGGCCCTCATCCTTTAGGAACCACGTGAAAATGCACACTGGATAGCAGCTCCGTGAAGGCGTGTGACCCTTGAAAGTTTTGGTTTGGACGTTCTTTCTAGACAGGAATCTTACAACTTTAAATAATCTTGGAAAACATTCCACTGATTATATAATGCTCCAGGAAATTCATACCAGGAAAGAAATATTTTAGAAGTTATAAATATGGTATTATTTTGTCAAAATCTCATTTTTAAATGAATCATTAAGTGATAAATTTCCAGTTCTTTTAGAAATAAATGTTTATGTAAGAAATAATTCTCTTAAGTCTTCTTTCAGGTATAGTGTATAAGATTGAATAGTTTTTTTTTCCAGTTAATACCTGTTTTCTGTTTTCATTTTTTCATTTTGAAGTTTATTGGACCCATGATAATTTGAAGTATGCTTTAAATATGACAATAAGTTTAACTTTTATGTAATATTATAGTGGAAGTGCCTTACATTAAACTTTTCTAGTTGTAAGTGCTTGACAATAAGTTTCTGATTGACAGGGCATCCATCTCAGACACATCCATCCCAAACAAGCATATAGCCAGCTGTATCACACAGCTACTAGTAAAACGACTACCTACACAATCAGGCTGCCTTGACCCATGAAATTTTCCTTTCAAAAAGTTTGGGGTAAACTAGTTAAGTGACCACTTAATCATGCTTTTCTCTTCCCTTAGCCTAATTTCTGCTCTTATGTTTAACTTTGTCAAGTAAGGGTAAACCTATGAAATCCCAGGCATCCCATCCTTGACCCCAAGAAAAGGCAGAGCTCAAGGTCTACACTCTCTCCCCACAACTTCACTGTGGCCTTGGGCCATGCTGTGTACTCTCTGGAACTTGTAAAAATTTTGTTCTAAGTTCCCTGATGGTTTTTTGCTGAAGTGCATCTTATGAGAATGCAAGAGCTGGAATAGCCACAAAATGTCTGTGGGGGCTTGTCACAACAGTGTTTTAGGCATTCCTAGTGGATAGCATCTCTCTCAGTAGGCCGAGATCAACAGAACGGCAGCTTTATATTTCTTCTGTAGGTATCATGAGAGCAGCCACCCCCCTTCCCTCACCTCTTTCTAGTACATGCATATTCCTAGGAACACATTGATCTTTTATTGGCCACTTATTATATAAATGATTAGGAGAAAGCAGGTGGTAGCCATTCTGAAAAATTTTTGAAATCTTAGGATTTCTTCCTGAAGAATTTTTAAATATGATGTGTTTCTCTAAGTTGGATCAAAATTGTTTTCTGTGAAAATAGGTTTATTCTTCTTCCATAAAGTCCTTTCAGGGGACTTTATGGAAGTCCCCTGGCGTGGATGAAACTAGGGGATGATTTTTTAAATGTAATGTTATGATTTTTAAACAGGATACCACAAGTCTGGCATGTGGGAGGTGATGGGGGAAGGTAGAAGCTACTGTTAATCTTGCTTTTCAGAATTCTAGCTGGAAACTCCTCCCTTTACCTAAAGGAACTACCCCCCTACCCCCACGCCCTGCTGCCTATTTCACATTTCCACCCCACCTGCCAGTATTGACATAGCTTCTTCCTTGTATCCTTAGTACTAGTTTCTGTTCAGCTAGTCTTCAGGTGGTTCTCAATGATGGCTACTGTGTTTTGCCATGTATACTGTGCTCCCCATGCATAATGCACACCCATGTTTTTGGCCCAAACTATCAGGAAAACTTTTAATTTTTTTAAGATTTTATTTATGAATTTTTAGAGAGAAGGGAGGGAGGGAGAAAGAGAAACATAAATATGTGAGAGACACATTGACTGGTTGCCTCTTGCACACCCCCAACTGGGGCCTGGCCTGCAACCCAGGCATGTGCCCTGACTGGGAATCAAACCAGCAAACTTTCAGTTCATAGTCAAATGCTCAATCCACTGAGCCATACTAGCCAGGGCTCATAATTTTTTAACTCATTTATTTATTTATATTTAGAAACAAAACAAATTATTGTATTCTAGGATATTACTTTGCATACAGGTATCGTTATTGCCTTCTAGAGTTACACTTTTAACACATAAGCATAAATGAAAGAATTAAAAACATTTATATAGATACAGAATTAGTACTATCCATGTATAATGCACATACCTATTTTTCCATCAAAAATTTGGGCAAAAAAGTGCACATTATACATGGCGAAATACGACATTCTATGTTGTGGTTCTAATTGTTTTGTGGTCATGAGTGGAGGTGAGCTCAGCATTTACCTACTATGTCATCTTGACCTGCCATCCTTAGTTAACAGTATGTATTTTTATCAATGACACCAAATGCATACAAGTTTAAGGAGTATTTTCATTTAGCTAATCTACATTTGTCTTTACTATAACTTGTAATACATGAATCAGTTAAAATCACATTTTATTAATGTTCTCCAGCCAGACCCCTAGGATCACTTGTGATCTAAGAAACTGTGAGGTGTATTGGCTTTGAGTGTTGGAGATGATACCCCTAGTGCAGGAATGCAGGGCGTGTTAGTGAGGACATGCTATGACATGGCTTGTGGACATATTTTGATCTATGTCCAGCATTTAGACTTGTGTTAGCTGACTTGAGTGAATGTTAAAGGGAGTGTCCTTTTACTCTGGATTAGATGCTGTCAGAATGTAAAAAAAAATTATGATTGGATATCTTAACTTCTTATCTAAAGGCAGAGTAAATTGCACTTTACTAAAAGTAATTGGAAAAGAGACACCACTCACATTTCCAAGAACTGGTGGATCTTTGCTCCACATCTTTGTGATATGGATTCTGTGCCATATTTAACCATTTTAAAGACATGATCATAAGGTGCTCTTCCTTTGTCTCGACTCGTCACTCTCAGGGAATCGCATCTGTGCTGGTTGGGTGCAACTGTTTCTGCTCATCGTGAAAAAAGTCACAGCCCAGCAGTGTCAGGCTAGCTGCCAGCTGTCTGATTCTCGTTTCCATGTAAACACTATTTCTTACTGTGTATTAAGCACTGCTTAGTATAAGATAAGTAAGATAGAATGTTGGGCAAAAATACATTTACAGTTGTTCCTATGAAAAATAATACAATAAATAACTATAAAAGGATTAATGGTCAAGTACTCACGACTGTAAAGCTATTTTTGCCACACCCTGTACATAAACATGCCTCCTCACCATCTCCATAACATACACATTTTATCATCTCCTTGGATGAGTTAACTGATGACTATAAATATAGGTAATTCCTCAAAATAAAACGGATCCGACATGGATCATTTTGAGCCTTTCTCAGAATCCACACTCACTGTCTGATGCTAAATTCTGAGCACCCCTCATGTGCTTTGTACTTTAGGCTCCAAACAAATTATTCATCTCCACACCAATCTGAGTGCTGCAGGCACTTGCCCATGGGGCCTTGCATTCTGCTCCCAACCTGCTTGTGCACACCCATTCCCTTGACACTTCCCCAGTGTCACTCCTACTTTGCATACAGTACACCTGTCTGTCTAGGTCTCCGTGTACAAACCTGTTTTCCTGAGCCTTCTTGTGCCCACGCTTGCGCCCACACAGGACTGGCCATACCCTAAAGAGACAGAGGGCATGTGTACATTCATAGTCTCCAAACCCTCAGCCCTCCGAAACGATTCCAAAGAGCACTGCCGACAAAACAACCTTAACTTCAGAAGCAAACATCCTCTAAGTACATACAAAAGTTAAGCATGTGTAGAAATTGTTTAAAATTAGGGATTTAATGGTTCTGACATGAAAAAGCAGGAATCCCGCGAAAAGGTCAAGGATGGACTCTTCTGTTCATGATGGAATCCCACCGTGTAGTTGTGATGCACACCTTCCATGCTGTGAACGTTCAGAAGCTATACCACCACGCATTAGTGTGTTGGTGTCCCTGTAAATATGGTCTTACTCATTAGTGCACAGGCGGCAAACACAAGGCCTCCGGGGCTGAATCCAGCCCTCCACCTTGTTTTATCTGGCCCAGCACCTTGTTTCTGCCTGGCGGCAGCGCAGACCTCCTTGCCTCCTTGTAGTTAAGTAGTTACATTTACACAGTCCTAAAATTACACGGCCCTTTGAAGGCAACCACGAGGCCCCCAGTGAAAGAGTTTGACACCCCTGCATTAGTGAGTTGATGCTAGACCATTCCGACAGTGGTTGGAATTGCTTAGGGACAAGCTTCCAATCTAGAAAGGCTATACCTGTATCATTAGTGACTATTTCCTCTGTAAAGTCCTTCGGGGACTAATTACCTTACTTCCAGTATGCACAGGGCCAGAGATGTATCACTGGATGGCATTTGACACAGAAACAGGAACAGCTTTGCCACCTGAGAGAGATCAGAGAAACATAAGTGGGCTGAATGAAGAGAAAACCTCAGTCCATTCTTCACCCAGTGGAAATAATACATTATTAGTGGGCAACGGTTTTATTAATCAACTACCATACAATATAGGAAGAATCATCCTGTGGGGATATTCAGCAAAATTACTAGCAGCAAGATGTAAGAAGATGGTTCCATTTTATTTTTATTTTTAAATTTTATTTATTTATTTTAGAGGGGAAGGGAGGAAGAGAGAGCGAGAAACATCACTGTGTGGTTGCCTCTTATGCTCCCCTAACCAGGGACCTGGCCTGTGACCCAGGCATGTGCCCTCACTGGGAATTGAACCAGCGACCCTTTGGTTCACAGGCCAGCACCCAATCCACTGAGTCACACCAGCCAGGGCTTATTTTTTATTAAACATCTAAGAGCTCTTTGGAAACATTTAGAAGCAGCACTTCCAGAAATTAGGAGAGTTTACTCAAGGCATTTATACCTATAATCTGAAGTTCTCTCTCCTAACTCATTCCCACCACAACTAATGTGCTCACCTCACCTACACTCCGTTTGTCCTGGCTGTCCCGAGATGACTGGGGAAGGTACACGTGTGGCTCCCCTGCCACACTGCTGAGCTGCAGGAGCACGACTGCCGTTGTTCTTTGCCTGGTGACCGTTGGTATAAACAATATTTAGGTCTTCACTGTTAGGATGAATAAGTCACTTTAAAGAAACAAAGTGGTAGCTACATAGACATTATAGAAAAACACATCAAAAAGAAAAATGCCAAAAGGTGTATGTATTTTGTACTATTACACCAGAACATATACAGAATATTGATATAATTATATGAATACGTTAATCCTTGAGAATGATATATTTTAACACATCCTCTTGGTTAATGAAACAAAACATAATACTTGCATGTATATGGCTGATATAAAAGCCTAAGTAATAATTGTTTTTTAAGAAACAAAGTAAGTCCCTGGCCAGGTAGCTCAGTTGGTTAGAGTGTCATCCCCACACGCCAAGGTTTTAGGTTCAGTCTCTGGTTAGGTCACACACAAGAAGCAACCAGTGAATGTGTAAATAAGTGGGACAACAAATCAGTGTTTCTTTCTCTCCCCTCCTCTTTCTCTGTAAAAAAAAAAATAAATGTTTAAAGAAAAAAAAAGAATGTAGAAAATGACTTTTGACCAAAAATGGAGATTGTTTGAATCACATTAAAAAAAATGAAA